AAATATGTAGAAGATTATTATAGAAGTGTTGATAATGATTTGTAAATTGTAAATTGTAGAGTAGAGAGTATTGAGTATAGAATGAAAGTTTGGTGGGAAAAAATGTTGTAATGGGTGAGTATTTATAGGAGAATAAAATTTAAAAAATAAAGAAAAGAAAAAAATAAAAAAAGTGACCAAACGGTTACTGAAAAATTCAGTGACTACCGAGCAGCTCGTGTACAGTACGAGCCGAGTGGGCTCGGCTCATGCTCGGGTTCGTCCTTTGACAAGTCCGAGCGACTCGTGGATCGCTACTGTACAAGCTGACGAGCGACTCGGCTCGATTGCCACCACTACGTGCATGTGCGTCTTACTAGTATTTACAAAATGACGTATTTCTTAATGCCTACTCGAGCGACTCGTGGATCGCTACTGTATGAGCCGACGAGCGACTCGGCTCGATTGCCATCACTACGTGCATGTGCGTCTTGCTAGTATTTACAAAATGACGTGTTTCTTAATGCCTGAAATAACAACTCACAACATGACAGACAGGAAACACGCCTACGTATACATACAACAACAAACTAAACCTCATTTTCGAGAAATTGGAGTCGTCTATGCACGTATGTATGGAAAAAGTCAGAAAACTCGACAATAACTAACACCAGAAACTACACCATTTTTCTACTTCTACCCTCTATTTTGGGCATCATATCATTGGAAGCAAACATTTTCACATTTTTACAGGAATCATCCACGAGATGAGGCTATTGACATGAGGCAAGTAGCAGCCATTGAAGGGGAAACTTCCTTTCTTCACCTCAACTTTAATTTGCAAAGAACAATCATAAGCATATAGATCATAATAATTTTTCCTGAAAATTATTTCACCATCGATTCTTGAACAGTAAAGAGGAACCATGTTCATTGTGCAATCCATTCTTATACTATATCGCTTTTCCCAAACTTCATAGCCCAAACCCCTCAGAATCCACACATCAAGTCGATTCACATCTTCATGACGAGTCACGAAACCAAGGAATCCACTCATTGCAATTATGCGATCATTAATTTCACCACTCTTTGGAAGTGATATCTTCATGAACTTCTCATCGTCCACTAGTAATAACACTATGTACTCATTATGATTAAGAAGAGGAAGCCAATGTAGAGCTCCCATTGCAAAAACAGGTTCGAACCTGAGCCAAACAAAAGTCCAAAACCATCCACAACTCTCCAAGATCCACTCTGAATGTTACTAATCTCACAACAAATGTACTGTAACTTATCCTGAAACACGTGCACCACTTTATAATTGCTCGAACCATGGCAAAACACTAACCCATATGATTCATGATGAGGAGACGACTGAGTTCCCAAAGGAATTTTAACAATTCCCGAGTCACTGGATTCATGACAACTAATCCTTCTTTCTTCATTCGATTTTCGATCAAGATTAAGCCATTGCAAGTTGTTTTGATTTTGCCTATGCAAGTTACATTGTACTCCTTTACTGTGCTCTTCCCATTTTTAATTTCCATAAACTTAATGTAATATGAATTAGGATGGCCTATGAGGGGCCACAGACATACAGGCACAAACTGCATATGCAAAACTTTAGATTCAACGGAAAGAGTGTTTGGTTTGTCAATAAGGTCTGATGTTTCAACATTATTGGAGGGAGCTAAAAAAATTAAGCTGGTGCTGGATCGTCGAAGATGGGCATCAATGAAAACAGGGCTATTAACAATCTCATACCAAGCCTTACAAACAAACCTCGGCTTTGGTAAAGATTCAATCGGAAGTCGAACAAGAATTTTAGAGATGCACTCTTTTGGAAAATAAGGCACGATAAAGAGATTTTTTTTCTACTTTTTTCTCTCATCTTCCAGCTCCCTTTGTATTCTTTCCCCCACCACCCTAAGCAACCTACCGCCTTTTCTAGCCACTGATTTTGTATCCATGTTCTCTGTCTTGGATCAAAGAAACTTAGAAAGTTAAACTTTGATGAACACACTTACGAATATAACTTATCATAGGGAAAAGGTGTTACGAACAAAATTTAGGATAACGGGCTATATTGATAGAATATTATGCACAACTAGAACAACCAATAATGGCATCAAATAGCGTAGAGCAAGAATTTAAAAATATTCTCTATATATTACACATCAAAAATTTTGTATTATGAAGTTGTATCATACATAATACATTTTCTAATGTTGACTTGTATATTATGGATTGCCTAACTGGGTAAACTTAGCCCATAAGTAGGGATTCCATGCATAAAAATTGGCTATTACAGGGGAACATTGAGATGAGTAGGGATTCCATGCGTAAAAATTTTGTTGTGTGGATTGGATTAGACTAATGAGACAAAAAGAGGTAAAAGTTTCAAGTTA